CCAGATTCCAAAGAGAGGATGAGAACTGAGTGGATAAAACACTAACAAATGAGCATCTTACTACATGGTTATTTCACAAATGATTTCTTGGCAGGTGCTGCAGAGAGGTTGAATTGAATAGCTTCAAGGTCAAATGCATCTCTAAGGATTCTCATGGACGTCACCTGTATCTGAGAAAGTGGAATGTTAAACATTTATCTTGGGTAATGACAATAAACACTCATTAAATTTTGCATTTGCCATCTTCTTTTGCTATAGAACTCAAACCATTTGCCTCTCAGAAGGTCATGTCAACCTTTTCTTTGATTCTGAGCAGCCTTCAGATGAATGGATGTCCAAACGGCTCTTCAAAGATCTCTCAGAAGTGGGGAGTCACAGCTTTCCATTTCCCAGGGCTATGCAGTTAGAAAGCTATTTCTTTTATAGAAGCTAAAGCTCCCTTATGGGAAAGAACTCTCTTTAACATAGATGTTATGGGGTGAGGGGGGATATGTTATTCTTATAGAGGAGACTTCGCCTCAAGTGCTTGCCCTGGCCCTGGCAAAAACTTTCTATTAATTGGGGGAAAACTGCTTTAAAAGTAGTATTTCACAGAATCACAGTAACACACAATTTAGAGCCAAGAAGAACCTTCATGATATATTAATCCAATGTCTGATTTTAAAGAGGGTATAATCCCCTACTAATATGACCCATGCTAAAACTGGGACAGTATTGGTTGAATCAGTGTGGTTGGTGGTCTTATCCCACCAACCACCAATCACATTCAATCTCTCAGCAAGTCTACTTAGCCCAACCTCCCAAACAGGCACCAACTCTGATGCTGTCTCTCCACCTCTACCAGTCCAAGCCATTTTCTAGTCTTGCCCATCATAATCATTCTCTAATGTGTTTCCCTGTTTCCACTCTTGTCCCCATAATATATCTTTTGCACCATCAAGAGTAAGTTCTTTTAAAAAGAGATAAAAACATCAATATCCTCCTTAAAATCTTTCAGCTGCTTCCTTTGGCAAAAGGAATAACAGAAATATCTTACCAAGGCAAAAAACCAGACTTGACTATATATTGCTACCTTCCAAATAGAATAGGGTTATTCTTACTGAAATTCAAATTAAATAAAAGATACCTTTATATATATATCTCAGAAGAATGAAGATGATGAAATAATACTGGGTTTTGCAGTTCTAAACCTTTCTCCTTGGTATAACAATGTCAGAGGAAGACCCTATAGAGTAGGTTCTACATTTTGAGAAGCATTTTCCAAAGGAAAGTTCATTTAGGTCTAGGGGATGTTTATAACCCATGGTAAATATAATATTCTAAGAGAAAAGGAAATGGGTCCACAAAGTCCTGATGTGTTAAATGAGACGCTTACTGTTGCTTTTATATATTTTTTAGACATGATCCAGCGACAGCTTTAACACTGACTCTTTAAATCACCAACATGCACAAACAGAAGTAGGACAGGCTTCTGCTTCAAAAGCTAATTGTATAACCAAGACATGGAAGTCATCCAAATGTCCATCAACAGATGACTGGATAAAGAAGATTTGGTACATAAACACAATGGACTACTACTCAGCCATAATAAAGAATGAAATACTGACATTTGGAGAAACATGGCTGGATGTAGAGATTATCATACTAAGTGAAGTAAGTCAGATAAAGACAATTATCATATAATATCACTTATATGTAGAATCTAAAATGATACAAGTGAACTTATTTACAAAACAGACTCACAGACTTAGAAAACAAACTTATGGTTACCAAAGTAGAAAAGGGAGAGGGATAAATTAGGAATTATGCGTCTGGGATTGACAGAAACATACTACTATATATAAAATAAACAATAAAAACCTACTGTATAGCACAGAAAACTATATCCAGTATCTTGTAATAACCTACAATGAAAAAGAATCTGAAAAAGAATATATACGTATATGTGTGTGCATGTGCCTGTGTGTGTGTGTATACATAACTTAATCACTTTGGTGTACACCTGAATATTAAATCAGTTCTACTTCAATTTTTTCTTTTTTTTTTTTTTTTGGTCACATCGCACGGCACGCATGTTCTTAGTTCTCCAACCAGGGATCACACATGTGCAGTGGAAACTTGGAGTCTTAATCACTGGACCACCAGGGAGGTCCAACTGTGCTTTGATTTTTAAAAAAAAGACTAATTGCAGGAGCCAACCTTAAGCCTCAGTGGGACTAATCAAAAGCTCTGACACTAAAGCTTTTGCCTGTGAATAATATCGTATACACGATTAGCCAAAGAGTATCAGAGGAAGCACACACACACACACACACACACACACACACACACACACACACTGTACCAGAGCCAAATAATTGAGAATCAAAGGAATACCACTATCTTTTTAAAGCCACAGAGCTAGCAATAAGCATCAAATCTCTTGAGTTTTTTGTACCTACTTCCCCACAGCTTCAGCCCAGTTAAGTCAATGCAAGAGACTCCAAAGTGTGGTGGGCTTGTTCTGGCAGGAAGAATCTGGAACAGTGGATATCAAGACAGGAAGGGGAGGGAGAAAGTATTGGCTGTATCAGAACAACTGGTCTTGTTTACCACCAGAAGGCTTCAAATCGAAAGCTCTTCTTTGAGACTAAAAAAAATGGTGATGAAACTTAACAACACATGAGAGACACTGTTAAGAGGATGAAAAGACAAGTACAGAATGGGAGAAAATATTTGCAAAACACAAATCTGATAAAAGGATCTGTATCATCTAAAGATGTATAACAAGAACTTTTAAAACTCAACAACAGGGACTTTCCTGCAGTCCAGTGGTTAAGACTATGCTCCCAATGAAGGTGGCACAGGTTTGATTCCTGGCCAGGGAACTAAGATTCTGCATGGCTTTAAAAAAAAAAAAAAAAAGCCCTCAACAATAAGAAAACAGACAAAAAAAGAAAACAAACAACCCAATTAAATATGGATAAAATATCTCAATAGACACCTAAAGAAGATAAACAGATGGTCAAAAGCACTATGAATAGTTGCATATCATCATTTGTCATTAGGAATTGGAAATTAAAACAACAATGAGATGCCACCACACACCTATTAGAATAGCTAAACCCAGAAAACTGACATAACAAATGCTGGCAAGGTTGCCAAACAACAGGAAGTCTCACTCATTGCTGCTGGGAATGCAAAATGGTACCACCATCCTAGAAGACAGTTTGGCAGTCTCTTACAAAGTAAACATAGCCTTACCATGCAGTCCAGCATTCACGCTCTTACGTATTTACTGAATTGATCTGAAACTTTGTCTACACAAAACCCTGCACATGAATATTATTAATAGCAGCTTTAGTCACAATTGCCAAAACTGGAAGCAATCAAGATGTCCTTCAATAGGTGAATGGACAAACAAACCAGGATACATCCATCCAATGGAATATTATTCACTAAAAAATTTAAAAGAGCTATCAAGCCACAAAAAGACATGGTGGAATCTTAATTGCACATTGCTAACTGAGAGAAACTAGTGTGAAAAGGTCACCTACTATATAATTCTAACTACACATGTGGCCTTCTGGAAAAGCCAAAACTATAGATACAGTGAAACGATCAGTGATTGCCAGGGGTTCAGGGGAGGAAGGGTGAAATAAAGCACAGGAGATTTTTAGGGCGATAAAACTATTCTGTATGATACTATAATGTGGATATATGATACTAAGCATCTGTCAACACCTACTGAAATTTATAGCACAAAAAGTGAATCTTAATGCACGCACATTTATAAAAACCATTTAGAGGATGAGAAAACATCAAAAAAGAATGAAGGTGATGACAATGAGAATCTAATTTTATTGCAAAGGTATGAAACAAACTTATTGAGGAGTGCAGAGAAGACGCTGCTCCTTGTAACTTTGGAAATGAATGAAGTCTAAAAGACTAAAGGCAAAATGAACTGCACATGGCCCTGTACTCTAGTTGACTTCGTTGTTTCCCACAGGGAAACAAAGGGTCAACAATTCTGATATTGTTATATGTGTAGACCAGAAGTGAGCCAATAAGTAAATGGATGGTGGATGGATAGAAACAAATTTTTCACTCAGTTCAATTCAGTTGCTCAGTAATGTCTGACTCTTTATGACCCCATGGACTGCAGCACACCAGGCCTCCGTGTCCATCACTAACTCCTGCAGTTTTCTCAAACTCATGTCCATCGAGCTGGTGATGCCATCCAACCATCTCATCCTCTGTCGTCCCCTTCTCCTCCTGCCCTCAGTCTTTCACAGTATCAGGGTCTTTTCCAATGAGTCAGCCATTTGCATCAGGTGGCCAAAGTGTTGGAGTTTCAGCTTCAGCATGAGTCCTTGCAATGAATATTCAGGACTGATTTCCTTTAGGATTGATTGGTTTAATCCCCTCGCAGTCCAAGGAACTCTCAAGAGTCTTCTCCAACACTAAAGATCAAAAGCGAGGAGCTAGCGACAGGGAGAGCCAGGGCCCTGGGTTTAGTTGTGGGGGTCGGAGTTGGCCAGTTTAGGTCTTAGGAGACAGTTGAGAGAGATGGCAGAGTTAGATGAGGTTGGGGGACTTGGGGTGCCAAGAGAAGGAAGGTTGACACGGGGAGTAGATCTTGGGGAAATTGTGCTGGGGAGAGCTGTATTGAAAGGGCCCGCAGTAACCCAGGGGGAGGACGACCCTCCAGGCCTATCTGTCGCAGCGGTCTGCTGGAGAAGGGGATCTCGACCTTTGGGTGGGCACCGCTCATGCGTAGGCTGAGCAGGCCCCCAGTGCCCTGGTTTGTGTAGGAGGAGGAAGGCCGAGACAGGTGGAGGATGTTGAGGGTCTTGCCTCCCTAGCTGGAGGCAGAATTGGTCAGTCAGTGCTTTGAAAAGGAGCTGGAAGGCAGGCAGTGGGGTGCAGGGTGGCAGGTGGGCAGGGAGGGCAGGACTTGAACTTGTCAATATCAGCAGTCCCCTTTTTTTCCAGACAAAGGGTTGTGAGCCCTCCTGGGGATGAGGCCTCGTGTGGTGGAAGCTGCACTTAGCTTCGCGGGGCTGACTGCTCTGGCCCAGGGCAGTGGCAGTGCTCCCCTTTGGACTTTTCCTCTAGGTTCCGCGCTAACCTCTTCTGTGAGCTCACTCTGCCCCTCCCCTCCTCCCCTTCACACTCTCGAGGTTACCCATTCATTTAAAACATTGCTTCTGGTAATCTGTGTTCATCATGGCGATCTGATGGCACCAGGAGAAATGGAGCCCCTGGCCAGTGTGAGTCGTAGCGGTGCAGGAGGGGAGACCCTGGAGGAAAGAGCCCGCCTAAACTGCTGTCTGCAGAGTGAATTTCCAGAGGCTTAGGAGGAGGAAGTTCTCCAGTGGCATGTTTCCAGGCCTTGCTCAGGAAGCCCTGTATTCAGGAGGCCATCCTTTAAAGTGTTCATGAGCTTATGAGGGGGCAGTCTTTAAAATGCCAAAGCAGATGGATCCGGGGCCATCAGCAGATGTGTTGCTTTGAGTGTTTGATCCGGGAGCAACGATCTCTGGGCACGTGAGTGTCAGCAGGCACGTCTCCTGGGTTGGAGGTTTCAGATGCTGCCATCTTCTAAATTGAGTCTCCTGTCATACTAGTGTGCTACGAACCTTGTTTCCAGAAGACTCTTAAGCTGTAGAACATTTTAACGGTGATGCCACAACACAGATGATGCCTTGTAGATGGAGATGCAGATGGATCCCAGTGACCCTCATCTACCCACCTGCCTGCCTGTGCTTTTGTTGGAGGAATTCTTAGTGTGATACATAATGTGTGTGTTGGGAAAGTGTTCTAGATTGAAATGCATTAGGCAAATACTTAAATGAAGCCAACTGGCGAGGCTGGGGGGTGGCGGGGGCGGGGGGGGCGGTCGTGGTCATTGTGCTGTGGTAGGTGGGAGGGCGCGAGATGGTCATGTCCAGATTGTGATTGTAAACGGCAGGTTTAGTTTGGTCACTTCTGTTACCAGAAGGGAATAGTCATGATACCGATAGTAATCTTCTGTTCATCTTGCTCTATATGCTTCTTAACTTACTTGATTAGATTTCAGAGTAATCTTAGTGTTCAAGTGGGAGGGCCCTGAGGTGAAGGGTTGTGGGGTGGTAAATAGCCTGATGCTAGGAAGGGTGAGGTGAAGAAAAGAAGGTTGTGATTAGGTGTGGCTTGTAGAGGGTGGGAGTGGTAGGGAATGTGGGTTGAAGGGAATTCTCTGGAGAAAAGATCAGTAGGCAGAGCTCTGGGGAATAGAGCTCAAAGGCAAAGAAAATGCTACCTTGTTAATGCTAGTTAAATTGTTACTTGAGAAGTTTCTGCAATGCTTAAAACTGCTAAGCATGGGGAAGGATTTTTCCAAAGCAAAATTGTTTTGCTTTGCTACAAGAAGGGGAAGACTGAACAGGTAACTGAAACCTGGATATGTCTATTCAGAGATTGGTGTCAGGGCCTTGCATCTGCAGATTTACATCTTTCACTGCTTTGCAAGCTTCTTAAGTGTTATATGAAGGTGTGCAATGTTCAGGGACTAGTTTCAGAAAAGACTTTAAATACCCAAATTGTGGGCTTTTAAAGTATTTTGAGATTTTGGTACTCACTTAAGATGCTTAGATGCCCTCTTCTGGGTTTGTAACATTTTTGTTCACTTGGTATTTTGCAGTTGAAAGTTTGAGCAAAGTGGAAACACAATTTCTAAAGGAATTTTGTATATTACTTCCTACCTTATAAACATCTTGTCTTTTCTTTGTAATGAGTAATTAGTAATAGCCAAAGCGCTTTCTTTCCATCCTCATTGTAACAAGGAGAACATAAATCATGATCACTCTCTAAATACTGTAATATTTGGTAGCAAACAATCTATGTACCCTTGCTAAAGTTCCAGTTAATAGTTTACTCCATCTTCAGTTTGAATGTTTGTGTTAAGTGAAGGAGTACTAGAGGGGAAACAACCAAAATCGCGTAGGGAAATGAGAGCAAAACTGGGGGTGGGGAGTTTTTTGCCTGGATTATGTATGTTTGTAAAAATTTAGGGCAGTATCAATCCTTTGTGATAAAACCAGTGACTTTTTATCCTGTCCCTTTTCCTATTGAATTTCGTTTTGAGAATTTTAGATCCTCAGTACTTATTACATGGAATTTTTCTGGGTTCTCTCGTTTTAATGTTTACAAGTATGTTGATGTGATAGTTCTGTTCTTAACCTGTAACTTGGGCATGTGATACAGTTACTGTCATTGGAATATAAAGAGTATTAGTCATGCATGTATGGGGAAATAAGCTGTTGTGAAATTGAAACTGTAAAAACAGGTGGAAAGGGTTCTTTTATGTTGCTCTGTATGGTAAGAACCAGTCCTTGTTGCATCATGTATATGACTACTAACACTTTTCTTCCCCTTTACAGCATGAATAAAGGTTTAAGTTCTAAACTCGTTAGAAAAATAAATAAATAAATAAATAAATAAATAAAGATCAAAAGCATCAATTCTTTGGGACTCAGCTTTCTTTATAGTCCAACTCTCACATCCATACATGACTACTGGGAAAATAAAATGACAGGGGTATGTCAAAAGAGCACAGAAGCCAACAGAAAGAGCTCCCAAGAGCTGAAATAATATAAGCAACAAAACAAAGTGATACCAGATTATAACTCAAGGTATAAAACAAATATCCATTATTTCAGGGGTCCTTTCCCCATCATTTACATTACCACCTGAGTTACACCACCTGTCAGATCACTGGTGGCATTAAATTCTCACAGGAGCACAACCCCTATTGTGAACTGAGTACAGGAGGGATCTAGGTTTCGTGCTCCTTGTGAAAATCGACTGATGATCCAAGGTAGAGCTGAGGTGATGCTAGCACTAGGGAGTGGCTGCAAATACAGATTATCCTTAGCACAATAAATTTAATTAATTTGATTCATCCCAAAACCATCCCCCCAACCCCAGTCCATGGAAAAACTGTCTTCCACAAAAACAGTCCCTGGTGCCAAAAAGACTGGGGATCACTGCATTGTTTCACACTGAAGTAAATGAGTGAATGAATTAATAAAGGGGGGAGATGAAACAAATCTATGCAGGAAACTTCCAAATAATTTATGTAGATGCTCCACCCTCAAGGAGGTGGAGTCTGTATAACTCCCCACTCTTTGAGTGTGGACTGTGCATACTGATTTCCCTCCAAAGATGACAATATGGATAGGCAGGTAAAAAGCACCTTGACTGTGGAGAAATCTGACAAACACTGCACCAGCCGGCTGATCGAGGTCAGCACCATGAATCATAAATCATCTTGATAACATGTACGCTTGATATGATATGATGAACTCAACACTTCACCTCTGTGATCTTCCTCTCAAAAACTCAGAACCACAGCCTAAACACAAGAAAAACATCACCAGACAAATTCCAACAGAGGTGCCTTCTACAGTATACCTGATGAGTATGCCTCAAAATTGTCAAGGTAATCAACAACAAAGTCTGAGAAACTGTCATGAGAAATGTAAAGGAGACATGACAACTAAATGTAATGTAGAATCCTGGATGGGATCCTCAAACAGAAAAAGAACATTAGGTAAAAACTAAGGATATCTGAATAACTATGGATGTTAGTTAATAATAAGGTATCAATATCAGTTGATTAACAGTAACAAATGGACCATCCTAATGTAAGATGCTAATAATAGAAGAAACTATTAGGGGGAGGAGAAGGCAATGGCACCCCACTCCAGTACTCTTGCCTGGAAAATCCCATGGACAGAGGAGCCTGGTGGGCTGCAGTCCATGGGGTCACTAAGAGTTGGACACGACTGAGCGACTTCCATTTCACTTTTCACTTTCATGCATTGGAGGAGGAAATGGCAACCCACTCCAGTGTTCTTGTAATTTCTAGTAATTTCTGTAATTTCTGGTGTTCTTGTAAATTCTTATAAATTCTTGCCTGGAGAATCCCAGGGACAGAGGAGCCTGGTGGGCTGCCGTCTATGGGGTCGCACAGAGTCAGACACGACTGAAGCGACTTAGCAGCAGCAGCAGCAGCGTGAGGGGGAAGGGGAGTAATATGGGAACTCTGTACTATCTACTCATTTTTATCTGTAAATATAAAACTGTTCTGAAAAATAAAGCTTATGGAAAAAAATCCACAACGTTAATTTGTCTTCTGGCACACTATGTTCTTAGGGCATTTACCAGCCAAGCAATATGATTAAGCTGGTTCCCTCTGGCTCTTTCTGGTATTTTATAAAGAGGGAGTTACAGGAGAACCATTTTTTTCTGATGTCAACAGAATTTCTAATTATGACAGGATATACCCCCAAAATCGCGTATTTTGAAGAATTCTGACATTATACAGTTAAACCCATGTCAATTCTCACATTTGGATATCAATAGTTGAAACATTTCCCTGGATACAATTATTCAAATTAGGAAGTAAATCCTTGAATAATCACTGTATGCCCCTTCCAAGTGATTCTGGGGTTCCTGGTCTTGTGGCTCCCTAGGGTACTGCCATACCTTGGTGCATATTTTATTTAAGGATGAAGGTAAATAATGAGAAGATCTACTCCATTCATTTCAGTAGCACAGCACTGAAACCACTTTAGGTAAGAACAACAGAATGTCACTGTTTGTCCAGAAATTACAATCTCTTTTTTTTTTCAGTAAATTTTTATGACCAATTCCCTATCAGTTATGTCTCTCTCACCCCAACACACACACACACAACAAGAAAGTTCTGTGCTCTTTTCCATATTCCAAAAATCACCTGTCACGTTTATCTTTAAAAAAAGAACATGACATCCTTTACAAGTTGGTATAGTATTACTATTCTAGAAATAGAAAAAAATATAAAAGATAGTTTTAGATTATGATACTCCCATTCAATAGAATGCTACATAGCCTCTTAAAATAAATATACTAACATGGAAAACCATCTAAGATAATTGTTTAAAAAGTTGCAAACTCAGTATAAAGTAATTTGATTTTTATTCATAAAGGGAATACATTAATATGTTATTATATATAAATTATACATGTTATTATATTACTAATAATATAGTAACTAATATACTAATATATTAGTTATATATAATAATATATGTTAGTATATTCAGAGGAAACTATTTGGAGAAATGCACTCCAAACTCTATAGGAGGATGATGTGATAATTGCATGTATGGATTTATGTCATGTTTGAACTTCTATAAACAGAGAACATTAAATTTGTAATTTGAAATTTTTTCAAAACTAAAAAATGTATTTTCTCTTGAATATCATGTGACTTGATGAAATGAGGTGCTGGCAATTCTGGAGTATCTGTGCACCAGGACGTAGGTTGTTT